TTATGTTTCACTGACATCGACGACCTTATGCGATAATTATATTTCGCTACGGTCGAGTCACCTACTTCGTGAGTCATCTGATGCTCCCCTTTTGGGTCGACTCTAGTCTTGCTGGTTATCTGTTCGCCTGCCATGTCTGAATTATGGCATTAAGTCCTCGTACGGTCACCTCGTTCATGGCAGTGACAGTTCAGCATCTATAGTGCACCTTGCCACATGTATCATATGCGTTGTACGTTACATAAATCAACGACCTCTCTGTACCTAACAAAAAAAGAAAAACACTTACATTGACCAATCAAGTCAAATAAAATAATTCACGTATCTATAGCGTAGCTATCACGTAGCCATAAAAATGTTTTTATCGCTAGATCTAGATTCATCAAGCAAATTAAGTAAGTCGTCTGCTATAACGTAAGTGTGCATACGTTTTATAAAACGGCACTCGGAGATAATACCAACGGCACATTTATTTCTTATACACAGTATTAGTAAACGAAAAATTTAAGAAAACAAATTAATTATTTTTTGGTAACTCCATAAACGAATTTGGAACTTCTCAAGTTTACTGAATACGTGCATTGTCAAAAAAGTTAAGAAATCATTCATTATAGAAACTGGGCTGGTAACTCACAGCGTAAATCTTTTCTCCATACGAAAAAAAGATGCTATTCTATATATATTTTGTTTTGCACCAGACATCGCTGCCTGGCACCAAATCGAAACGATTTATTAAAATAAAAAAATACAATAGCGTACAAGGAAAAGACGGTCAGGGACGAGACCTGTCTCCAAAAAAGCTGCCAAAACACTCTTTGGCTTATCGCATGCTAGAAGAAATGATTTCAGAGCTACATGGCGTGCAACGTAAAGTGCGAAGATAACAGACGTTGTAAGTACTTCATCTCGACGAAGCATTAATGAGACACATCAGCTAAACCGTTTTGATCAACATCAGTTCGTACTGTAACTTGTAGTTACTTGGTCGCGTGGATGTTTAACAGATAATGCTGCTAGCGTCTGGCTTCAAGCGGTTGTTCTGCCGCGATGCGCTCTGTTCCAGTGTTTGTCTGCAGGGTTTTTATTTGTTTGTTGCTGGAATCTCGCTGCGCGCACGTCACAGAATCACAAGAATCGTTGCGTCTTCTCACCTCACTGGACTTCATCATTTACCTGCATAATGAACTGGCGAAACCGCATCACAGAGAGCAATAACAATTAGCCCGAAGACGAGGTCACAGCTAACCTGTAAAACTGTTACAGACGTCCTTCCGAGCATCTGGATGTACCTCCAAGAAGATAGCAACAGTCGGGTAGTATGAACCAGATAACAAAACGCCGACCGACAAAGCGAGAGTGGGCTACGTTTTACGGCGCTCGGTAACATCCTCCATTGTATTGTAGATTCTTCCTGCGCGTACTGCTATACGTGTATGCAAGATTCCTATCTTTCTTTCGACCTTTGCCGTTGCCTCTGTGGCTTATTCCAGTTTGATGTTCCCTGTACACTCATAATGCTTGAGTGACAGGACGTCCAGTTTGGGTACACCAATCGGTCTTGAGGCGATTGCGGCAACGTTATCACGACAGACTTGTCTGTTGATAGCTCTCATAGGAGGAATGCGTGGTACAATAGTAGATAAATGGACGGCTGGGGTTCATGGCAGTTACGTCAGTAGGATCAGCAGCAACAAACAACCGAACCTGGTTAGTAGTCTTTATAGTGGTCTTTATGCCGAGATGATTCGTAGTTGCTCCCCAACCAGTTTAGCACAGAGACATGTTCATCCAGCTGATGCTGCTGCAGCTACTGCCGTTGTCGGGGTTCCTTTGTTGGTCGGTCCTGTTTCATTCTTTCTGAGTTAAATGAATGTGAGGAAACGAGACGAATTGATGTACGCCTCATGTCGGGATTGGCTCGCCGTCCGAAATGGGCCAAGCAGCAGTGCGCGATCTGCGGACTAGCTGACGTCGTAGAGGATCGCCACGCGATCATTAATGGCGTTACGTTCGATGCTGACTAGCGGCAAGATGATCAGGGACTTCGTCGACTAAGGACGACACAATGCAGTAGTACGTTACATCCCATTAGCAATCAAAAGGCAACAACACCACTTTATTTTTTAGTGGTAAAGTTAAAAGGTACACAGAATGTTCTACCTTAGGTAAACACCTAAATAAAAACAGCGACCTGCATAGTTATGAAGTGCGTATTAAATGGCGATGGATACAAGCATGCTAGTCCTGGGGCCACCAATAAATAATCCATACTAACGTGATTTCCATTTCAACAAAAAACTTCATCATGCTCGCCGCTTCCCTAACTGGGGCACGTGTGCCCCATTAACAGATGAGCAATAAAACGCAATACCAATTAAAAATGAGGGCTGCTTAAAGTCCATTTATACTAATAGAGTTGCTAGGGTCCGTCGCCACTAGCTATTTCAGTGAAGTCTCTTAAGAAAAATATTTAACATGCAATAAGAAAGTACCTGAACAAATATGCCTAAATTAACCGTAGAACAAGGCGCTTCTTTGACAGACTTCAAACGAACACACACGAAAGCTACATAAAGGTTAGCGCTGAAAGCTGCGCAGCAGTCAACGATGTTACTGCAGTTGGTCGACAGGCTGCAAGGCTTGTTGTTTATCTGTGACATATCTCGTATCCCTTCATTGAGAAATCAGGTGTGTCATTATATTACGAAACATTTATCCGGCAGTGAAGCGGTTTGTTTCTCCCTAATGGAGCATGACGTTTATTTCGATACAGCATTGTAGTGATTCAACGACCCGTATGTCAAATATCCTTAACGATAATTGGCAAACTATAGCTAAGACGGCTTAATGCAAAATCATCTCTAAATTATCAGCATTACAAGTGATAAACAGTTATTATCAGTACTATTATTAGATGGGCATTGGGTTAGTTTAACCTTATAACGAGATCACATAGTGCCTTTCGTCTTCTTTTCAACAGAACACAGCAAAGTCTTCGCAAAGATTGTGGAAAGATAAGCTAATAAAGCGAGCTTGTGATGACGTTTCGGCAACTTTGGAGAGTATCGGCTTGAATCAGTTCTGTCAATGGAAGCCAAACGGGACAAGCAACGACCCCAACGGCAGCGGACTGTTTCCTTAGGTCGCGCCACGTGCACCATGTTAATAGTGTTCAAGTGAATTTGAAATTTTTCGAAATTATGCGCTCAATACATGTCGGAGCCATGTTGTCTTCGAAAAATCACTCGATATTGAACATGTGTAAATGTTGAAGTCAGTTGAAGCAGATCAATCATCCTGCCGTTCGTCGAGCAATTGCCACATAAGCAGCTGTGACGGCAGCAAACGAATGATCAAATCAAAGTCGAAAATGGTTAGGTCGTTATGACGACGTATAGTAGGTAAAAATAGGATTATAAATGAAGATATCGGCAGTAGCTTAACTTTGTCACATAAGTACAGTCACAAAATTGTATGGACTTGAGCTCGATAAAGTGTAGTCTTTGATAAACAAAATATGCTTTTCTATGTCACTGCAGCTTGCTAGCTTATATGTTCCATTTAATACAGTGCATGACCATCGGCGTATTAGTCTGTCAATAACATAAGGACATGAAGTCTGAGAAAAATCTTTGACTAGTTGGCCGTCACACAATTAGATGCCAACAAACATTAACTTAGCATGAGTAACAAATTTTTATTTAGCTCAATTCAGGCAATGATCTTGTAACAAGGATTAAAAAGATTCTTGCTAATGGAACTCCAGCTTATGCCTTCTAGCCTTAGCCAAGCTTTACTAAGCCCCTGAAGCCATAACGCCGACGAACGGAAACATTTCCGCCGGTTATCAAGCTCCTCATTTGTCCTAAATTCATTATTTTTGCACTCGAAAACAGATTAATTATTATAAAAACTGTGACTATACCTATGAATTGTGAACACTTTTTACCGCTACGTCATGGCCTAGGTCTCATACACTATTTTTGTACGGAATTCATGAGGTCACATCGCGTATGAAATTATACCCAAAATGATAAGGGCCTATTGGGTTGGTCTGCTATTACCATTTGATGAGTTCGAACTTGCCAGTTATTTGCAAATGGCCATAACAGGACCTTTGGCAGCATGTTCAGCTAGCTTTATTTGAGAAGAGTTCTAATAAATTTTATTGATCATTTTTCCATTACATCATTGCTCCGCTGCTTAAAAGCTTGCTCGATAATGAATCATTGTTACAGTTAAACGATCTAGTCATTGCGGTTTACTTCGTAATCATATTGTAGCAGTCAATATTCTGAACGATGTAAGAACTATGAATTCCTAATTTGTTAGTCAGTAATGTTTGGGCTTGTCGACCCGGATCGACAAACTCATTTGCCCAACAATAGGAACAATAACCCATAATATGGTTAGGCTCATTTGAGGTTGTCCAATTTGAAAAGACTCCTCCGAATAGCTAATTAGCAACAAATGCTGTGTGACCGGCTGTTTCTACTGCATCTCAATCTAAAAGTTAAATACCATTATAGGACGAACTTACGCATGTACATGAAGGTATCGGACGTTTTGAACAATAACAAATATAAAGAAGATTTAATTTCAGCTAGGAATAGTTTAGGTAGCCGTAAAGTATCAAACTAGTATTTATAGCCGATTCACAAAGCGTACAAATAGGCTTTACCTTTAAAATTTGGCTATAAGCAACAAACCTTACGTCTCGACGCTGTCAAGAGAGTATTTTGTCGACCAATATAACATTTCTAATAGAACTCAGGAACGGTACGTCCCAAGGCTAAACAGAACGTCCTTAGCAGGCCTAATTGCGGAAACCTCGACGCTAGACGCTGTCTAAAGTTCGCTCGCATGCATGCATGCATGCATGCATTATGTACGCGCATGTGAAACGATGATTTTTCGTTTCTCTAACTGCCAAAAGGAAGAGGCTATTTATGTGTGACGTGTTGGTGGCAGTGTTATGGTGCCAACCATTGACTACTAACTTGAGTGTCTTCTCAAACACCGTTGTCCGGTAGATTTCTTCTTGATCAAGCCGAAGTGAAAAGTAGACATCTCTACCGGAATCCGCATTACAGCTGCCCTTTGGTGGTAAATTCTTTGCTTCGCCTGAAATAGTTAATATATAATGCGTTAAACATTAGCGCACGATTTTAAGTGCATCTAAATATCTGAACTGACCCAAAAATGGTGTGGTTTCGACAAGTTGAACATCATGACCGCTGACGTCACCCGAAAAACGGCACTATCAGAAGAACTGTCGTTACTGAAAGAGAGCATAACGTAATATATGTGCATATAACAGCGTTGTAACGAAGCACGCAACAACGCTTCGAATCAGTAGCGTAAAAGAAATTGCATCATAGGCTAGAAAACTCTTGCCTATGATTAAAAAAAAAAAAAAAAAAAGAAAGAAAAACCGTGCTATAAATAACAAACGATGGCGAGCAGTTACCAAGGTAAGATATTATCGTGTGTATTGTAAACTAACGTACGACTGTGTCGGGCAATCGTCTTGCCATCCCTAGTTGTACCGAAAAAAAAATCACACTTACTTATCATTATTGTCTTCTAAGCTAGTAAAACACAGGTACTACTGATTATCAATGTCATTTTATCGGATAGAATCACAGTATATCTCAGATCTAATCGAGATTGCGACAAATTCAGTTTAGTAATATACCTAGGCTCGTTGAGGTAGAATTTTCGCTGTTCGACTCGAACAGGTGAAATGTTTAATAAACTATAATTTGTTTTTTAATGTTTATAGTTATTGCCACTACTGCACCCGGTGTCCGCTTTATACAAACAAGAAAATCATGGGTTCAGTCTAGTCAGCTAGTAATTATGCCTATGTAAATAAGCTATTTCTCTATGTTTTCAAATTCTAGAATATAGAATAGAACAAATGTTTAAAATATTTCTTTTTTTTTTTTGTTTCATGATCCTCTATTCTGAGCATATATCAGTATTATCATTAAAGTACAAGATAGGATTGAGTCGTGAATTCAAATTTTAAAGCGATTAACAGGAGTCGAAAATTATGTATATTTAAACCTGGTCATATTCAGCAGGTACCGCAAATGCTAGTTTACGCAATCTCATTGTGACATAATATGCAACAGAGGTTTACAGGACTCATTTCCACGAGGTCAAAACCACGATATCTATATAAAAATTAGCCAAATAGGTTTGTAAACTTAATGGGGCACTGCCGATCATATAATCTCGAACTTGACGAATATGTAAATAACTTAAGATTTTTAAGATAATTTTTCTTTAAGCACTAATATATTAGTAACGTATTAGTATAATATTATATTAAATTAAAATAGTTTGTCTATATTAAACCTCGCTGTTGCGATGTTTTCAAAACTTCTCTGCATAGGTTTGTCATAGGGAAATTTCGGAAGATTTTTAAAATCGGTTATAAAGTGTCTCACTTTATGAGAACTATTATGGCTTCGTTAAAGTCGATTTACAGTTGCTTGGGAAACTTTCACCATTATTCAATAGACTGGTACCACTAAAGAATGCCATAACTTCTATACCTAAAGGCTACTTAAACTAAAAACATACGTGATTTTTTAAACTGAAATTTCCATATAAAGTTTTAGAGGCCGTGCTCAACGCCTTTAAATAACAAATTGTAACGGTATCAGAGCTTTAATTTCCCGATGCACTCCTTTTTTCCTGACCAATCGGACAATGATTCCATGCACGAAGCTATGCTCAATCCACAATTTTCTGGTCATCATTATATGACACTGTCTCATATGGACCGACAATTTTTACTTAAAACCTGAAGCAATCGAACATAAAAGACTGCTGCGTGGTAACTGGTTATTGCCTTTGTTCCCTAGCAATAGGAAAAGGGAGTAGACACATATCATGATAACCTGCTTCTAACTGACAACAATTTAATTTTTTAAAATAAGAAATTTTTTTAATTTTAATCAATGCTAGAAATCTACTGGTCCTGACACATAGCTTACTATGACAATTATAGAAAAAAAAAATAGTGATTTTATTGTCATATTGCGAGCCCCGCCTAAAATATTCAGATATTTTTCGACCAGTTCGCTTCCCAAAAATGTACGATAAGACTATTCTTTATTTAGAATAATGTCTCATACCGTACAACGAAACTTGAGCAGTAGCCTATAACGGAAATTCCAGACGATTTCGCCTAGAGTTAGGCCGAATCCGTAGCCTAAAAATGGCGATAACAAAGTATTACATATCGAGCTGAAAAGCAAAGCCTGAACGAGAAGATAACGGGACACAATCCACTTGCTATTGCAAGGCATTTCTACCTAGAGGCGGAGAGAATTGTATTTCTTCCATTTGGCGCTAAGTTGAACCATGAGCCGGCAATGACACAGTCGAGAAAAATCTAATTACTACCCTATGCTAGGGTATATAACGCTAGTAAAACACAACGAAAATTATCGGTTTATTTTATCTTATTGGTTTATTATATCTTATCGACAAAAAGAACAATCTTACGTTTATTAATTGTCTTAAGGTTATCCTATCAGTTTTGAGCTCAATGATCGTTTCACGTCTAACAATGAACAATAAGTGGTTATTCCTGGGGGTAGCTCATTGGAATGCTTTTGATCACATTAAGATCCCCGCGATACTCTAGTAACAACGCTTTTTTTTACTAGACTATAAAATAATGGACTTAGACGCGGGCTAAAAGCCCGGTCAGACACCGTTTTATTTTGTACTGAGAACCAACCATCTTAAACAACAACATCGGACGTTGAACTGCGACTATTATTTTTCTCTAACAACAGCTCTGAAAAGAAAAGTTGAATTTTGAATAAAGATGCCGGTAACAGTGATACCGTTCGATCATAGATCAAATCTAGCATGCTCGAACCCACAATTATTGAAAAGCTTATTAAGAAAAGAAAAACATTATTATTATTATTTACTTATGATCAAACCTATGGCTGTTCGCGTGGCCGTATACGATAGCACCCAATAAACGTCAAGGTAGTATCCAGTAAATCTGCTGTAGTTGTCAGAAGAAGGCCGAACGGAGTATACATAACAGAGTAATCACAAACATCATATGGAAAGGAATCACTAATAAATACATAGGAATAGCTCAATTCTCCCATTGTCGAGTCACAACAGGTCATAGACGATTTACGCTCATGCTTGAGCAGCATAACAACTGTTTACGATGCCAAATAAATACTGGGCTTATACCTAAGTAGCTCAGAAAGGCCAACACCTATTTTCAGATTAACATGTCGTATTCATAGTCACCTCGACGCAGGCAGTAAGTACTCTTATCGACTGCATTGCTCCAGAACCGTTCAATTTGGTGACAAAAAGTTCATAATTTGAGCCCGTCAAGGTCATTCTGACCAACGAATACTAAAAGCGATAAAAAAAGCAAGCAAAAAGTAGCGTTCAGCGTCCTGTTCTGTTGTGGCAATGACTGCATACGTCAGTTGACATAGAACACTGAATGTATATCCTAAGAAAAAAAGACACTTGGAGAAAAAAAAAACAGGTTTTTAGAGCTATGGACGGTGGGCTCCGTCATTACTCTACTGAACAATTGGTTTAGCTAATTATAGCCTTTGTTGATAGCGTAACATAATTTATTAGCAAACGACTTTTCAGTATACATTGTTAGTAGACTTTACGATGCGGCTGAATTACAGACTAAGATGATCATCAGCATCATCCTCCCCTATTGCCCCCCCCCCCCCCTGCTGCAGTTGTTGAAACTGCGCGTGACTGATTACCGCCAGTGGGTTCAGCTGACACCAACAGACCGTGATGAAGTTAAGGTTTTTTTTTGGCTGGTTGACTGGGTAGCTGAACAGTATCGACATCGTATAATGACGGTGGGTAATACCTCCTGTATATATGTACATGTGTAAATGTGAAATAAATCGACAATTATCCATTACTAATCCATTGGTGACACTAGGAGAATCGCAGATTGGCTTTACAGCTTCCACAGGTCGAATTGAAGGTGGAGCGGTTAGGGTGGCCACACGCAAAACTGAGCGACGGGGGCTTTGTTCGCACGCCAGAGAGTAAACCAATGGATATTGCCCACGGTACCATGCATACACAACGGGCGTACGCTAAACCCGCTAAGGGAAGCAGACTGTAATCCTACAGGCCAGCTTGTCGCTAGCTTAGCCACGGCCCGCCGCTTAAGCAACCACTACTTAGGTATCAGATATAAAAACCAATATAGTCTACATACAATACATACATACAGCACGGCAATAGCGGTGCTGCTATTGCCAACCGAAACAGCATGATATGGACTAGTTCAAAAGATGTGCTACCACTAAAGGAAAAGGTGCAGGTATGGTTGCGTCCTATTTATCTATCCATTCAGTAATATGTCACGCATACGCCTCTTCGTCACGCTGTTCGTTTACTTACTTCGGAGCTTACGTGTGATACAGTCATGCGACCTACTCATGCGGGGTGTATATAGACTACTCCGTATTTTCTATCAACAAAATGGCTGATTTTGAAGCGACTCGGGTCAGAAATACATACAGTAGCTAAGACCTCGTTTCATATTCCATCGAACATTCGTTCGACTATAAAGGGGCAAGCTGAACAGCCCATTTCTCTGTCACCTGCTTCAGAGGTACATTTCCAAACGTAAATTGAAAACAAATTTCGTTTTATAAAATGGATTATTATGTACTATATTACATAACCTTGTTGCGGCTGTATGAAGCAAGGTAAGATTGGTCCACATGGACCACCATATTTAGAGCATATATGAGACTAGATGTCGTCGATGGGTATTGAAGAAAGAAACTGAAAAAGCGAGTAGTCTCAAAATACAAGCTAGCTTAGTAGAAATACATGCACACATGTGTATATACATCAATTTAAACTAAGGGCACTGTGTTTTCACATTATGTAGTATATGTCGTTGGTGTCAACCGCCTATCGCTTTTATTATCACGTGGCATCGGCTACACAATTATCAATCATTGGTACAATTTTTCTCCTACCTAACATGACGATAAACTGTTGAAAGCATCATCTGTTCAACCTATAGCCGGGAGTGTTTTTCGAAAAGAGCATTTTTTCTTCAATGATGAACCTTTTTTTTACAGCGAAATCATGAGAAGTTCGCATATATTCGGAGGGTGAGGATATATGAAGTTGTCGAAAAGTAACAGCTAGATGGCTTCGAAAGCGCATATCAAATATAAACAGTCAGTTAAACGTTGGTGTCAATCGAAAGTTGAGATCTGCCGGTAGTAAATGTGACAATGTTGCCAGGACGCCTTAAGACCTAGCGAATGAAGAGTCAAATTTTTGCTAATAATGATAAAGAGACAAATGTCTGCTTAGGCCTATACCAAATTTGTTCTGTTTATGGTCAGGGTGCGTCATCAAGGATGGTTCTGTCACTTTCGTTCTGGCAATTTCGGCTGTTCCTCGTAGTGGTCGAGCAATGACGGATAAAATTAATAAAATGATTACGAAGGTTGAGCGAGATCCACACATGAATAGCTATGAGAGACAGCTGAACAGTTTTAAATCATTTGAAGAAAAAGCGCCATGTTTGGGTGCCACACGAATAGACGCGAAAGAATTGACGGTCGTGTTTTCATTTCCGAAACTCTACGGAACCCAACGAAATCAAGCCACTTTAAAAGCAGTTGATCACCAACGATGAAAAGGGACCCACATAATGACAATATTGCGCAAATAAAGAAAAAGCTTCACAATCCGTCACAAAGCCTAAAGTATTGCCAAAGAAGTTGATGCTATGTGTTAGGTGAAATTAGAAAGGAATCATATACTATGAGTTGCTGTCACCTGGCAAAACGATGGATCCTACTGTGAATAATTAACAAGCTTACAACACGTCAATGCAAAATTGAAGAATCGATCCTAGAGAACGTAAAAGGCGTCGCATTTTATTATGACAACGCCGGATCAGATACATCTAGGTTACCCGGCAGACATTGAAACAGCTCAAATAGATATGATTTCACCGTTTAGTCCAGACTTTGCGTCATCAGACGATAATCTGTTAACGATCTTTTGCCCGGAAACGACAGAGTCCCACAGTGATGGAATAGATGGGGATAGAAAAATGGCAAGAGGTAATTTAGCGCATACTTAAATTAAAATATTGTTTTGAAATATAAAAATATTTGTTTCTATTTTAGCAAAAATGCCCATACTGAATCATATATATGTAGGCAATCTTCTCAAGCTGATGTTAAGACGATCTCTAGCGAACTGATTATAGCAGTCCTATTAGGTCGGTCGCAAAGTAATTCAGAAAACTTTCTATTATTATTATTACTTCTATATTTTGTTTTCCTCCGGACTATCCTGTGTTTACCTTTTGCCTGAGTTTGTTTGCTTTGTTGTTTAGCGCGATGAAATCATGAACCGGAAACGCTGTGAATTCGTCGACATGGTCTCCTCCGAGAAAATATGGAGATAGAAAGACGACTGTCGCCCAAAAGATCAAGGGTAAGCACATTTATCGAAATTGATTTACGCAATCCGGAATTGAAGATCCTTATATTAACCCTAAACGGTGCGTGTGTCGGACAGCTGCATGAAAGGAATAACAATAAACTGTGGGTACTATTGCTTGCAAATTCGGCGAGCTACTTCTAGAGCTTGCCACCACTGTCATAAGACTCTTACATCTACCGGGGTCAATATGGGTCCCTGTGGTAGCTTATTAGGTAACGTATTTGTCGGCTAATTCCAGGTTCGAACGCCGGTGTATACATACTTCGTTTTGTGCCGGAAGTCAACCATCTGATGGAATGCCCAATGGCGATACCGGACGTAAAAACTCGAAGCATAGAGGGTCTATATGGGACAAATTAAAGTGGCTTCTGCATGAACTCAGTGTCAGCCGACTGACCGCACGCATAGAAAATACGTTACTTCTACATCATGAATAAATAAGGAATCTTCTGAATACTAATGAAATAAGGAACACCTCTTTATAACCCTAATTAAATCTCCGATAAGTCTGAGCGTCGAAAATCGATGGGATAGACAACCGACGGTTTAATGAGACTTGAAATGGATGCTTTACTATGAATTTGGTGGTAAGTTCTCGGGATAGATTTATTTGGAACAACACATGCTTATTGAGATACCCACGTGCTGGTTCCGTTGCTGTTGAAACTTAAAATGATTATGCCTGCTCGTCACATGTTTTAAAAAAAGGAGTATAAAGAGTCTGGGGAGACAAAGGACAACGCAAAATTACTTGTGGTAGCAGGACAATATTCAACTCGAAGGCTCTTTCACGACCCGGAAGAGTCTGACAGAGCTTAGAAGGAAATTTCGCTACATCCGGTCTATAGCGATCTAGTTCTTGCTTTATCGTATTACAGCTGTTCGGATCTATGCAGCGCGGCTTGGAAGACAGGCGATACAAAACATGAAGCAGACGTCCGAAAAGAGGTCTATGAATGAATGCGGTCTTCGTTACCCTAAAAATCAATTTATTGCCCAAATGGCGAAAAAAAGTTGAGTTATTTCAGTGAGCGATGTTGACTCTTTTCCAAAATGTCTTCCATTACTTTAAATGACTTGAAAGAAGAAACTTCTCGACCGAACCGCTATCGAAGACAACAGAAATATCTCTGAGGTCACGCTATACAACTACATGGACCGTTAAGTTTATTTCGCATAAAAGATAATGTTTCGTTTGAGTGGAAACGAGAAAACAAATCTGTGGTAAAAAGAAGGACGTTCTAGCGTATGTTCTCATTTCAATTTTTCGTTTTGCTAGAAATACCCATTCAATGTAAACGTGTCTCTAAGGATCGATAGGCTGCCTTTTGTTGGCGCGTGTCAATGAATACTTCTTTGGATTGTCGCCATATGTATCACAAAATAACACGGATATTTTCAGACATTTGAGTATTAATACAAACGTAGATTAAACAGGGCGACGACTAAAGCTGGTTTAGACTGCGGTTATCATCGTGCCCGTGCGATGATACTTTGTTTGCCTACTAAACTCAAATGTCACGTGGTCAAAATTCGAAATCGGGGGTAGGTACACCTTGTTTCGTGCCGAGAGTCAACCGTCTGAAACAGTGCTCAACGGCAGTAGAAACGTAGAATTCGAAACATTTAAACCATGATTATGCGGTTGCATCGGATAGTCTGCGATGACGGTGTTTAAGGGAACGTGCAGAAAAAAAAAAGTTCATAGAATCGGATTAAGTAAAGGACGAAAACTTCTAACATATTTTGCCAGAAGCAAATAATGAATTTTCACACTCGGATTATAAGCTTCTCTACCAAAAAAACATCACTCTGAAGAATATCCGTCAGAGTTCATCTTGCCGGTTATGCCGGACTGTTATTACGTTTATACTGCGTGAACTGCCCTCTCCTATACGGGTTTATTATCGCGTCGCTATTGTTCTTGTCTGCGCATCGCATTCGCTATTGCAAAGCTCGTTCAAGCACACGATCGTTCAAATACTATTAAATAAAATCGAACACGCTTTACTCACCAAAGATCACGGCCAACTTCTCGATCGTTCGAACTTGGTCACTCGCTGGCCACGCCATTGCCGCCATCTCATAATAACACACACATGCGTATACTATGTTACGGCCGACGCTCAATGATCGCGAACGCACTATACCACTGCACGTACTCCATATTCCAGAATCGGCTAGTAAACACAGTTATAGTATGTTAATACAGAATAAAAATATAATCGTCATTAGTCGCGTCATCGTGACGGCACTGCCATAGTCGGCCCCACTTGCAACTATCAACGGTGAACCAGCGTCATCGTATCGAGCTTCGTCTATTTCTGTTATCTTGCTGCTATTCTCTTTCGTTTGAAGTTCCTGCTAGCCCTTGTATTTAATGGTGCTATTAGCGGCTCCGCTGGGGCTGTTGCCTCCCCCCCCCCCCCGGCTTCCTTTGGCCACACTGGCAATCTTTACATGTTCCTCGATGGATTTCAGCGTCGGCATCGGCCCGCAACCAGTGAACCATTCAACACCATCGAGTTCAACTCACTCGATCCATTCTACTGTGCAACGCGGGTGGTACAGTAGAAACAGCAGTAGACGCGCAACCCGCGACGACGACCGTCAGTGCCGCCTCCACTCCAGCAACGGCAATAATAGAGTAGTCTGAACTGACAAAGCGGTAGTGGTAAAGCAGCGATAGCCAACAGCAGCAGCAGCAGCCGCCGTAGAAGTAGCGGCAAACGAGTGCAAGTGACGAACGCACGGGTACCGACGGACCTGCAACTACTCTAGGCCGACAGAGCGAGCGATGATAGACCGATCAAACAAGCGAACCTCTTCGTTCCACTCACTATGCGGCGCTCCACGGTACTCTACATCAATCGACCGCTGTTGATGCGACTACCGCTGCTGCTGCTGCTGCTGCTGCTGCTGCTGCTGCTGCGGCTCTTTCATAGAGCAACCGGCCGCTTGGCTAGCCCAGTTACAGACGACGTATGGCTGGCGGACGGATAAACGAACTGCGGGCTGGGGCAGGCTGCCGCGCAGACGCACAAACAGACAAGAGCTAGAAAACAGGCAGCAGGCCAGTAATGCAGGGAACAGATGTGCGTGGTGTGTGTGTGTGTGTGTGTGTGTGTGTGTGTGTGTGTGTGTGTGTGTGTGTGTGTGTGTGTGTGTGTGTGTGTGTGTGTGTGTGTGTGTATGTGTGTATGTGTGTGTGTGCGTGCGCGCGCGTGTATGAATCTGTATGTGCGAACTTGTGTGACTGTGGCAAAGTTGGAGAACACAGTGTCGAAACACTGGAGGACACTCAGCGAATGAAACAACAACTTTACTTTCGACACGCTGGCATGAATGGTGTTGCTACACGCTGGAACACGGACGGTAGAGGCACAATCGTCACCAAGTGATTGACTGAGCTGGCGGGCGGCCAGGCAGGCAGGGGACGGCCAGACGGGGGACGGATGGAGGTCCCGAGGGACGGACACACTATCCTCTTGCGTGTGCCTGGCAGTAAACTCGTTGACTAACAGGCTGAACCACTTTCACGCACTGACCTATACCAACTGGGAATCTCCGCTAGCAGGGCTCATCGTAACAGCTATGCTTTCAACAACTGCAGTGGCAAACGAAGCGCCGAACAGGTTTTCGCTTGTGCTCTCTGGAACCGTGTCTACTCGACACTTTGTATAACAACCCCCAATATCAACACCTCGATTGATCGATTGGCTCTTACCATCGATTTATGGCGACTGCTCCCCGCCGTAACCAGAACGCTTGTACTAATAGGTAACTGTGTAACGGGTAAAAAGGCTAAGTAGATCTACGACGCGTTCACCAGCAGTTATAGTAGTAGCTTGCGTTCATTTTGCTTTTGCCGATTTCAATTGGCTGACTAACGTTCTGTACTAGCGTTACTGCTCCAGTTGCTGCTACCACCAAAGACCGACTCCAACATCTGCCGCAATATCATACGCTCGTCACTTCTAATCGTAGCCGACTGCAACTAATACCTAACCGGCGATATTATTGTCCCGCCTCCCCACTGTTCGGCTCACTACCGTTGCGTTCACTCACGATTTTGTCGTTGTTCCTATTGCTATTGAAGATGACGACGCGTATGACGCTTACCAAGCATCTCAGTTGTAGTACAGCCCGTCGGCAACTACAATACAGTGTAACTGGGGTGGCGGCGGAGGGGCAGATATCGACTCAGGCGACAGATGCACGAACGATGCGAGGCGTTCGACGCGTCGACGGCGGCAAGGAGTCGTTATGTGGGATACACCGAACGGCCGATCAACTGACAACGGCTTCGCTACTAGTGGTACTCGAGTGATAACAGTTGGCGTTACGTTAGTTAGCTAGCTAGCTAGCTAGATTCGCTCCATAACCCCCGTCCGTTTGTTTCGATCATGTCGGATTCAGTTGCAATCGGATTGGTTTCCGATTATTCATTCGTCACGACAGCTGTTGTTGATTGACCTGTTTAATTACATCGAGAAGATCATTCGGTACCCAATGAACGGCAAGAATCCTAGACTCTTTGTCAGGTCACAGGCGTATTCCGCTTTGTATCAATCATTTAACAACTAAATCTGTTTACGGTTAACGATATATCACTGCCGCAGTCGATCGAAGCACTGGGACAAACACGACGAAATTCCAACATCGCAATGGCGGTTAGAGACGACGGCCTTGTTATGGCCACAACCGCTGGAGTTCCCCTCACTTCCTGCCACTCTTCTCGAACTCCTCGTAGTCGTATTCGGCCCGTGCGTCAACTCAAGATAGACAACGCGTCAGCGTTCAGACGACTGTACACAGTCGTACGATAAAAACAACGATTTGTCGTACGTATCACCGCCGCAGTTCAATCATAATGTTTCCGCTGTTGCTTGATGCACACGCCAAAGTTAACAATACTGCACCACTGATCATCAGAGAGGATAAACAGCGTTAACTAAAGTGCGGGTAACGTTCACTGAAGCCAGGTCGTAATATCAATTGACAAAACGTTCTCTCATCGCCACTGTCTGTTCGCTTGATCTGCATTCATTAATGTTATCTCTGTCTTTACTAGTTGTTGTGTTCGTTATTCCGTTCTATTCCGGCGCCGTGTGTACGCACTTTTACGCTCAGACGCACAAGCAAACAGACGATTTCGCCTCCCCGGTTCGCCGTTCCCTTGCTCTTCTCTCGATTGTCTTCTCCTTTTTTTTTTTTTCTCTAGATCAGCAGGATTTCGTCATCTGATTTCACTTCACTGCCGACAAACCAACGTCGCTAACCACCGCTGCGAGAAACGTCCATCTGCCTTTGATCAAATGGCAACAGCACGACGGCCAATACCGGGGCGGCGGTACCCGATCACACCCGCTGTGAGCTGCTGCGACTTTTGCTTATGGGACGACACCCTGTTGCTATACGCTACCGGCGCTGTCGTAGCATACAGCACGACAATCGGCGCTGCTGCTGCTGCTGCTGCCGCCGCTACGGTTATGTTGTGGTTACCCGCCGCGGCGGCGACGGGACAGTAGCAGCAGCGACAGCTATTGCTTGCCCGCTGCCAGTACTCCCGCCGACGAGCAGCCCAACATCAACCGGTCACCACTCGCCCCGAACTGTTACGGCGCCAGCTGCTGCTGCTGCTGCTCTTAGTTCTAGCGCAGCTCGGCTCGGTTGGCTAGGACACGACAGCGGCGGCGTCAGAGTAAGCGCTCCTTTCTATTTGCTGCCCATCATCGCTAGCCCAAATGCTGCTTTTGCTAGCTGGTCGCCCATGTTTTTGTTTACTAATAACACAGCGGCTCGCGGAAAAGGGAAAGGCTCGCACCGTCGACTCGCAACTTCCCAGCAGCGCCACACCACAACGCCAGCATGAACCACGGCCGTAGCAGTAACAGCAGCACCAGCACCACCACCACCACCACCACCACCACAGAACAGAATAGAATAGAATAGAACAGGAATAAGTGCAACAGCAGCGGATGGCAGCAGCGCACGAGATACGACTGCTGCTGCCGTCGCTCCTGCTAGCGCGTGGCGGCCGAAACTGGATGGGTGAGTGAACCAGTGGGGTGAGTGAGTGAGTGAGTGAGCGAGCGAGCGAGCGAGCGAGTGAATGAGTGAGTGAGTGAGTGAGAGAGTGCGTGAGTGTGTGAGTGAGTGGGTGAGTGAGTGAAGACGTGCGTGTGCATGCGTGCGTGTGTGTAAGTGAGTGTGTGTATGTGAGTGTGTGTGTGTATAGGTGGGTGGCTGGGTGGGTGTGAGTGTGTGTGTGTGTGTGTGTGTGTGTGTCGTGCGACTACTGCTACAGTGAATACAGACGGCGACGAGTACGCTTCTGTTGCTGCTCGATCGGTGAGTCTGCATTGGCAGCAATGGTCCAGCGGGGCGGACAGCCCCCCTACACTTCTCGGGAGTTGCTTACAACGGGTGGAAGTCGTTTCGTTTGTGGCGCGCCTCCTCGAGAGCAGTAGGCAGAGGTGATAACGGCGTCAGCGGCGGTCGGCAGCAGTAGGCGTGCCTCTTACTTCTTCCTGAACCACAATCATGTCGACGACGACGACGACGACGACAACAACAACACGGCGACTGGTAGTAGACGAAGTATTATTAGCTGCTGACGAACTAATGAACGATCGACCGATCAAAGCGACCCCTGTCGTTCGATCGACGGCGCCAATTTCGAACCGAATTATTTGTTGATTGGCACTCACTGACGTGTGCGCATTCAGTGTGACAATTGGGTTGGCAGGTAATAACAGGCGGCCAGATAGAGTTTCGTTACGATTTAGATTCACGACGACTACGTGGGAGCATCAATAGAAGCACAGAACTGTTAATGTCGTCAAGCGTTTTGAAGCAGACAGAAATTTTAAAACGAAGCGCGGCAGACAGAAAACGATCGTGAATAGTTTTAAGTAGCGGGGAATTTCACGTGTGGAGAATGATGAAAGCGACAATTTATTTTCGTGTCAGAAACAGCGTTGCTTCTTGTACAACGCGTTGACGGAGCCGTAACGAAGTGTGACGACCGAAGCGTGCGGCAATAAGCCCACAAAAACAAACGCAAAGAAATGAGAAAGCTGACTCTGCTGGGCCGATCTCCCGGCTCGGTTGTTTCACAATCCCTAACTCTGGAACCATTTTGAAAAATGTTATGCAAGCGAAATAAAGCGAGTACGCTTGATTTAGTTACCAACCAGCCGCGATTTATTTATGCTTATCTGGCTTTGTGTCATGGCGTTCTTGATCCAATTCAAATAAATGTTCCACAAATATATAAACCCAAAAAACTGCATCAGTCTAATGAGACTGGGGCCGATGGTGAGCTAGGTGACAATACCATGAAATATAACTTTCATATAGCGTAGACAAAATCGTCCAAAAAAAAAACAACGTCGACACGAAGATACTGTGAGCAATGCTGTATAAATCTAAATAACTTCGAAAAGGTCAAGTATCTTTTCGGAAGTAGCATCTTTACTGTAACCATATTTCTCGATGACAAAAGTGTCCATGATAAATGCGGACGAACAGATAGGATCTCCAAAAACCGTTGTAATTTAGCGCTGTCAGCTAGTAATGCTTATCAGGTTGCTCGGGAAGAACGCGGAGGGAGGAGAAGTGGACTATCGTAACGCAATAAAGAGAATCATAGACTTACACATTCTGACTATTACGTATCGAGCATATACTACGTCGAAACGGGAAACAGCTAGCTTCAATTATAGGAAAGATTGATAACTAGCGGAAATGTTGCTCGGCCTCGATCTGATAATAGATTATCAGTTCACAGAGCTGTTTATTACATAACTACATACAAATAGGAAGGAATAGACTTTTTTTTTTTTTTTTTTGGTACAAGATGGACCCACGGGCTTTGTCGTTAATTTAAATATCTCATTGCCCTTATCCTGCTATACCTATTGCACTGCTTGTTTACAGTTATTGCGTTTTCCTGCTAATACGTTTGAACGATTCTCTTACCTAACCGCAGTTCATTCTCTAAATTATTCGAAGGTCAACGAATAAGTGATAAATTTAATCTTAC